CTCAGAACGTTTTTTGATGGAAGGAAAACACAAGTCCTCAATAAACAAGTCGGAGAGTAAGACTGAAACTTGTCAAAGAACTGGTTTGGAAACTGCTTCGAGCAAACTCTTCTCTGCATCTTTCACTCTGCAGACATTTTGCTCTCTGCTCTCTGACTGAACTTTCTTGCAAGTAATAAAGTGCAGCTGTTTTGATTCTTTATCAACATTTAATAAATCAAATCAAAATGTTTGCCTCCTGAGGCGTATATTATTGCACATATTAAACCTGGAACTAACAAAGCTTAAATGATTGCCTATAAAAACAACATTAAACATTAAATAATCAGTTGCATTCATTTCTTATGGCTCTATCTGCAGCTTTTCCAGAGTCATTTCTTATGATTACATTTTCCCACAGCTTCAAAAAAACAATTTCCCTCAAAGAACAAACCAAACATGCCCTGTTGTCTCAAGAAAAAAAGTGCAGAAGGAAACATCCATTGAAACTCAGTGTGCTGCTCTGTGATGCAAATGAGTTCAAGCCAGATACTTGGCATCTCATCTTGGGTGCAATGGCGTCGCTCGGCCCCGCTCGGTATGGCTGGGCCTCGTTAGGACTGGCTCACTTTATGGCGCATTTCCATTACAGTTTAGGAACTGGGGTAGTATCTATAGTAACGCAGTGTAGGCGGAGCCGTGACGTCATCTTCAATGAGAACCCCAGAAAAACAACACAGCCGTTAGCTGTTAGCACTCAGAGCTCACAGCTCCTTATATCTGTTCAGAAACTAGACAAAAGTTAAACAAGTACAAACCACAGACTGCCTGTGTCATGGTGAATACAGTCGCTGCTTTATTTATGTCTGTATAGGCCGTTGTTGTGAGTGTGGACGGTCGGAGCATATACTGCGTTAGCTTAGCCAATCTCCATTTAGAAAACAAGCATTTTAAAAGGTTTTTCGCCTGCCGTCTGTCTGCAGACTTGACAAAGCATTAATTCATGGTTTTTACTAACCGGTATCAGTATGTTGTTACTTCGGCATCATTTTGAAACGTGTATTACAATTAAATCACGGTCAAATATGTCCATCTTGTTGTAGTTGTAGCCCCCTTGCCAGCGATGCTCTCTCTAGTTTAGCATACTCAGCCCGACTCAGCCTCGTTGTCTCTGGCCCTAGACCCGCGATTTTATGAGGCCAGAAAAACTGTGAATTAGGACCCGCCGGCCGGTACTAGGCCAAGTGGAAACGCAACCAAAGACGGGCCGCTGACGTCACAGCCCTCTTAAACCGTGCTCCGCGCTGTAGTGGAAACGCGTCACAAGTTCATCAATGTTTGGGGTCAGGCTCTGAGCTGAGGAGATCCTCAGGTTTGAGTGAAGGTGTGCGTGCAATATACCGGCGGGCCGGAATTAAATCCACCAAGGGCCTGATTTGGCCCCCGGGCCTTGAGTTTGACACATGTGC